GAAATATCGTCAAGAGGCGGAAGTGCTTAAGCAGGAAAAATCAATATCCACTTCTACAAGTCTGTTTTGAATCCTGTTTTTATAAATAATTGTCCTCAGCTCTGGTTTATGAGTTTTATATTGTCTTATAGCTCTGGCCAAAATTATTCCAATGCTATTATTTTCCCCTTAGCTTTTAAATCAATTGCTTCTCTAACTTTACCTTACTTACTCCCTGTTATACCGATGTGGTTGAACTTTTTCTATTCGTCACTGCTTTGACCTAACCTGTAACCTGAACATTTCGAACTATCTTTACTAATAAGAGGGCAAGATTATGTGGGACCTAATTGGTATGTCTAGGCCCTTTAATCATTACTTAATGTGACGATCACAATTTTATGCATCTACTGATAGCTTTAGATATGGCTCGTTTTACCTATACTTCACATAATTAATTTGTGTTTATGAAAAAAAATATCTTTGATTAATTCTGCCTTTCTTTAGAATCTGTTTTGCATATATTCTTAATTTAATCTTTTTTATTCACTCCTATAGCCGCAGAACTGATTGCTGTTCAAGCTGATCTACTTGCAGCTCGAAGTGATCTCGCTGATCTTAAAGCGAAGCATACCCATCTTATAGACAGTTTTATTCATGCAGTGACCGACACCGAGGTATTTAGACCGCTGTCTACAATCATTTAGCTACTATCCTATCTTTATTTTTTAGGGATTTTTCATTCATGTACTATTCGAAAATGGAAATAACAAGAATTTTATTTGTATTGAATAACAAAAGCGCACATAATGCAGGAGTATAACAGGAATATTTGTGGTTTTTCGTTTATAAGTAAGTTTTCTAGACTACCAGTAGATAGTATATATGAGTGGTATTCACTTTTTCGTTTAGAGTGATAAAGAGACCGGGAGTTAAATATCATATCAATGTGGGAAAATTTAACTGCCTTATCACCTTAGACGAAATCGGATGAATACATCTCATATATTTAATCCAATTGGTAGTCTCGAAGGCGTAGTTTTATAAGAAATTTAGATAATTTGGTTGGTTTCTTTATCAAATGCAACAAAAATTCATCGGTAATATAAATAGTTTCTTGTTGACGCTGTTTCCAAAGCAATCTTCTTTTTTTCCAGTGAAAGCGGGCTAAGCTTTGGTCCGTATTATCACGAACATCATCAGAACAGGGTATCTTCCAAATTCTTTCTTTAAGTTATTTGACCTTGATTTGCAACTTGGTCATATTGGTAGGAAGACTTAGAATAACGCACCTAGTCCGGAGTCCATTGTCTGCATGATCATTTCCAAAGTTGGACCATAGATGGGGTACATTCTTAGACGTTTCGTCCCAAGGGAAGAAGGACTGTGTAACAATATGGAAGACTCTGATCAACATTCCCAGCACAAGGGTGAAGGGGGGTGAGATTGCCAGCGTTTAGTGCGGAGGGTTCTCATGAAAGCCGCTCAAAAAGGTCACATTGGACTAGATTTAATCAATCAAGAGAAAAATGGTAACAGTGAAGGTATTATAGGGGGATATAGGAAATGTGAATAGACCAGGGCAGAAGAGGAGTACCACAACTGTTTAGCACACGTTTGGTCAAAAGATCGGCTTCACTTGTCTCTTTGAGGAGTTTTTGTGTGGTGCTAAGAATGGCGAGACTCACTGACGATGCCGACTACGATGCTGGCGAAACGTCTAGGAAAGTACCACGTCCACGGTCATACTCTGGAAATGATCATGCATACATTGAACTCCGGATTAGGTGCGTTCCTCTAAGTCTTCATACCAATATGACCAAGTTACGAAACTTCTATAGTTCAATCGAAGTTATGAAGACCAAGATGTTGTGGCCCTTTGTATGGTCGCTGTCTCTTTTTTTATATAGAACTTGTGTGACATTGTTTTCGCATTGTATTTTCAGTTCGCCTTGGTGGAACATATGTTTTTCGGACATGATAGTTTCCAGAGTCAGACCGTTAACCTGGCACATCTTCAGACTTTACGCCGGCATCGCCATGGGCCTTGTCGTTCTTAGTAACAGAGGAGGTATGTGGAGCAATTGCTTAGATAGTATGGAATAAAATACCGCAGGATCCTGCATCCCCGACGTTTTTGACGAGTTATAGTGTGGTTATAAGAATGACAAGGCAATATCGGCGAAACATCTGGGAATGTATCAAGTCCATTGTCCGATTCTGGAAATTGTCATGCATATTATTGACACTGGACAAGATGCATTCATATAGGTTTTCCTGTCAATATGACAAAGTTGCGAAGGCAAGATCAAACTACTACCATTCAACCAAAGGAGATCACCACCATAAAAAAGGCAACAATATTTTGGCCTTTATACCTTCGATTAATAGTATTTCGCTCTATTAGTTTTTACATAAAATCTAGACTTGAATATTTCACAACTATATTCTGATTATCTCTTTTACAAAATTAATATGTTATGCTTTTCGAGTGTATTCTAGTCCTCTTTATTCTATGCAAAATGTTCTTGAATCAAAATAGGCGGAGGTCTAATAATGCATATCCATCACACAATTTGATCTTATCTTTAATGTGTATTTCAGATTATTTACTGAGCTCCAGATTTTCCTTTAGTCGTCCTGCATATGCCAAAATCTCCCATCAAAACGGTTTACGTGTTTTTTTTCGTTAATAGCATTAACTTACCTCAATGCCTTGACTTGGATTCTATATTACAACTGAATTAAAATCATTGTCCTTTGCAGGACCAGTTTATCGGGTGCTATACCTTATGTTGGATTGCAACTTTTTGGCCTTCTTAACATCTTTCTAAATCTTGCTATTCTATTTATTTTTAAAGTCTAACGAAGCCCTAGCTGCCGCCCTCACTGCTCCTCTCGACCAGCTCTGTCCTCCGAGTCCTGAGGATTCTTTAGCCACCTCCAGCGACGCCACTGCATTTCCAAACGCCAGTTCTACGGCCTTACCTACCGATAGCCCTCCATCTAATCCTATGCGTGCTGTCAGACTCCTGACTTGTTTGGCTGGACAGCTTATATCTGCGAAGCTGCGGCTTGATGGACAAACAGAAAGCTTACTCAGAATGACCCTTATTGAGTCACAGCTGACTAAAGCAAAAGCGGCAAATGCAGAATTGCAGGCTAGGCTCCAACATCAACAGTCGTCAGCCATGCCAACAGCGCTATCACTGGCGGGATCTAGTGAGAGCGCTGTTTCACATGCATTTACTTGCCCTACTGTAAGTAATTTTCCATTTCATATTATTATTATTAGCATCCATCTTATGGCTCGTTATGACTGCTTTGAAGTGTTATTAATCATCATAATTACTATTCACCTATCCAGCTGTGTGGATGTTGGGTATTTGATCAATGATCGTTTCCTATAATAATTTTAAATTATCTTCATTAGTAATCTCTTGCTCAGCCACAATCATCGCACAAATATTGCGGCTGAATTTTTAAAAATTCATATCAAAAAGCAGTTGCTACTATTAAAGTTGTCTGACCTCGTTTTCATAATTTAGTCGTTTCTTTTTGGCGAATTAGTTGGACGCATCTTGTTCGAAGTCCTCTGCTATAATAGCTATCATTATTCCCAGCACGGACCGTGAACTTAGTACATTCTCAGACCTTTCGCTGGCTTCATGGTCGGCATCATTTAGTTTTACCATTCTTAGAACCAAGCTACAACTTGACAAAGAGAAGTTATAGCTTGGTACTGAGAATGACAAAACTTCTTAACGATGCTAGCAAACGTCTAAGACTGTACCAAGTTTACGGTCCGACGCTGGAAATTACGATAACTACTATGGCAGAGGACTTTGGACAATATGCGTCTAAGTCTCCTCGATAACACGACCAAATTGCGAAAACGAGGTCAGACCACTTCTATGCATCGCAGGAAGACTGCGACCAAAAATATAGACCATAATATCTTACTCTTCAGTAGCTAATATTATTATGATTATTTTTGCATGAGTTTTAAAGATCCCGAAAGTAAAGGGTACCTTTTATTTAATAAGTTTAGGCTAACTTTCAAGGTTGAGTTACCTGCGTAAGTGATCATGATAAACATTTTGTTATAATTTATGTGGCCAGTGAAGGCATTTAATACCTTTTATATGTTCGCTTATTAACACCAAGATTAATCTCATACAATATAGGACAAATTTCGGCTTTTCATTCGATAACTCAAAGTAATCGTGACTAAGTTGTTATATATATTGTAGAAAAATTCTACTACCAGTCCTTCATCATCTTAAACGAAATAGAGTGAATACAACTCATATTACTGATTTATTGG